CTCCACCCCTGCTTTCCTTCTCCCCCCCACCCCTGCTTTCCTTCTCCCCCCTCCACCCGTGACTGCTCCATAACTTGAGTGCATCTCGTTTGTCAAGCACAGTGCTGGGGCCGCGGGAGCTTGCTCCTGCGGGAGCTTGGGAACCAGACGACACACATCCACATTCAAAGGGACTCAGGGCTCCTGGGGAAGTGAGAAATGAATATCAACAACCACCACATCCCACAGGCCTGGGTTTCACATCTGTTTAGCAGCAGTATGACCCTGGGGAAGTCACTAACTGGTCTTTGCCTCGGCTTCTTCCACTGAAAAACAGGAATGGTCCCTTCTACATCACGGGATTACTGTGAAAGTAAGAAGGAGCTGATCATGGCCCATCACCATCAGCACACCAGTCCCCCTAGAGGCTGCTGGGGAGGAAGAAGCAGGGAGCACCCACTCCTGACCCAGAGTCACTGCTTCTCCTCCCCTGCCTCTGTCACGACCCCAGGGAAATGGACCCTGAACCTGGGCTCCTGCCTTCGCCTTTATCTTCTCCACTCTGGGATAATTAAGAATGACTTGGTAATTATGCAGCGATCTAGTGCAGTGTGTAACATTGGGGGCCACCAGGTGCCAATCAGTAGAGAGGATGGGGGAGAAGGAAGGATGGAGGAAGTGAGGACAAGGGGAAAGGGGAAAGGAGGAAGAGGAGAAGAAAGGAAGAGGTGGGGAAAAGGAAAAAGAAAGAGATGGAGGAAAGGACCAAGAGCTTTGCAGAGAAAATCACCCTTCCCAGGGGGAAGGTGCTGGGCAGTGGCACTGCCTCTTGGGGGAAGAGGTTGGGCAGGGGCTGATGGGCAATGGCAGATGACAGCATTCAAACTTCCACACATAGTCTGTTCCTTCCTCTTCCCCGTGCCATCCCAACTCCCTCCTGCCTTGTCTTCTATATCATGGGAAGCAGGTGACATATCTGGACCGCTATTTTGGGGGCCTGGCTTCTCCCAGGTGAAGAGGGGACAGATGGAGGGGCAGAAAGAGGGGGCAGGGAGGGTCTGGAGGACACAGCTGAAGAGCGCCTGGGAGGTGCTTGTCAGCCCCTCCAGTCTCTGCACACTCCCGGCTGCAGCAGAGCAGGAGACAGCACAGCCTGGAATGCTAATTTGCCAGGAGCTCACCTGCCTGCGCCACTGGGCACTGACACCAGTGAGTCCAGAGGCCGGGCTGTGCTGGGGCCTGAGATGGGGTGGTGGGGAGAGAGTCTATCCTCCGTCCCTGTCTCTTCTGTGCAGGAGGTTTCTAAGCAGGAGGAGCATGTTTAAGGGGAGAGATTCAAAGCTGGTCACATCCCCACCAAAAAAAGTCCATGAAAAATGAAAAGCTCACATGCTTGTCCAGTGCCACAGGAGGGGCAAGTGGAGGAGGACGTGTCAGTGCTCCCCACTCCATCGCCAGTCATCACTGACTCTCCCTTTCCTTCCTCCTCGTTCCCCATCTGTCACCATTTCCTGTCGTCGTTTCTTCTGAATGTCTCACCCTGCCCTCCCTGTTTGCAAGTCCCCTGTCTACAGCCTTATCCCTGTCACATCCTGACTACGACAACAGCTTCTGGGTGTCCCTGGCATCCACTCTCTCTCCCTTCTTGTCCCTTCCATGGCGGATGCCTGATGAACCTTCCCCAAACTCTTCTGTCCCATCCCTGCCCTGCTCAAAATCCAATCATAGCTCCCTAACACTCCTGAATCAAACCTGAAGTCCTGTCCTGAGCACTCTGTGGGCCCTAACTCACTCATCCCAACTCTTCACTCACTGCCTTGCCCCACACCCTGCCAGGGAGCCTCCCATGGCACCGTGGGAACACAAAGGAACCAAGGCAAAGCTCCCTCAGCACCATTCAAAGAGGCCTGGCCCACAGGCTCATGGGAAGTCAGCCTCTCATGCCCTGAGAGCTGAGTGCAAGGGAGCTGCAGCGCTGTCTGTGCTTCCCATGCAGAAGCACCCCCCTCCCAGCACTGTGCAGGCCAGCCTTCCCCGCAGACCACCATATACCACATTCCAAGTCACACTGAGGCTTCTCGCCAAGCCTGCGGCCCCTATTTCTAGACCCCACCAGGGCAACCTGCACACCCACCTCCCTACCCCCTGCCCCGTCCTCCAGGAGCCTGCCCTATGTGGAGTAGGCACGTGGTTTTCCTCTCCAGCAACTAGTTCTTTTTACTCAAGCAATGGCCCCATGGAATCCATCTCTCTCACAGGCTTAGTCCCAGAGCTTCAGGTGGGGCTGCCCACAGAGCTCCTCAGTCTGAGCCAAGTGGCGTGTCATAGTCCCCTGGCCCCAACAATGGATGCTGGGACAGACACGAGGACCAAGCCAGGAGGGATGGGTGAGTGTGCCTTCTGGAGGGAGTGGGGACACGGGAGAGCATTCTTTCCTGCTGGACTGACCCTGTGTCATGTCACCTTTCCACCACGAGCGCACGGCCTGTCTGGGAATGCAGCCAGACCCAAAGCAGCAAACTGACATGGAAGGAAAGCAAAACCCGGCCCTGATAACATCATTTTAGCCTTTACTCCAAAGGCTGCTCTACTGATTGGTTACTTTTTGCTTAGCTTGGTTTGGGGAGTTCTGACAGGTGTGCCACCGATTCTTACTGATTTCTCTCCAGTGTACACCCTGAGAAGCCCACGCGGTTCATGCTAGCAATTAACAATCAATCTCGCCCTATGTGTTCCCATTCCAGCCTCTAGGACACAGTGTCAGCCACATAATTGGTGTCTCCTAAGGTCCAGCACGAGGTGGAGCACATGGTGGAGAGACAGATGCAGTGACCTGGAAGCCAGAAGTGAGGGAGCCAGGACTCAGACCCAAGGCTCCTGAGAGGCATCTGCCCCTCCCCGGGCTGTGCCAGCAGCTTGGAGAACCCGCACTCAATGAACGCAGCACTCCATTACCCAGGAAATGCCCTCCTGCCCTCTCCTCATCCCACCCCCGGCCAGGGGACATACAACTGTCTACAAGGTGCCAAACACCAGGACGAGAAAGGAAAGACGCAAAAATCCAGGGCTGCCCTCAGAGAAGGGCAACCATGCAGTCCCCGTCTTGGCGAGGAAACACAGTTTCTGAGGGATGGTTTTAGCCTCCATTCTAGTGCTGGACATGGGGTGGCCATAATCCGGAGCTGATGGCTCTTAAAGACCTGCATCCTCTTCCCTAGGCATCCCTTGGGCACATTTAGTGCAACAATAAGCACAAAAGGTGCATCCGGCACTTTCTGTTACTACTGGTGGCAGGTTCATGAATGGTGACCAAAGGCAGTGTACGGGTCAAGATTATCAACAGGCAAGAGCCAGCATTTCCAGGTGCCAGGCACTGTTCCATTCCTTTGCATGTTTTCATTAATTTAATCTTTACAATAATTCTACCAGGAAGCTACCATTACCACAACTTCACAAAGGAGAACACTGAGGCTTGCAGGGGTTGAGTTGCCCAATGTTACAGGGGAAGCAAACAGGGCAGCCGGATCTGAGCCAAGGCATCAGCTCCAAGGTAACCCCTCAACCACTTCAGTGCATGGCCCCTGGTTACAGGGACATTCTTGACAGGCTTGGGGCAAGCCGGTGAGTCAGTGCGGGGGGGCTTTCAGGAAGAGGTGGGTTCCCAGCTGGTGACAGAAGAGGAGGCTGCAAAGTGAAGGGGCAGGGGCTCCAGGTCTGGCGACAACCAGGGAAGGGGCAAAGCAGGGGTGACGTGGACCACGAGAGGGACCTGAGTCAGGCAGTCACATTCTTCCCACTGGGGTCTACCATGTGAGGCACGGTGTGGGATCCTGGGAAGGAGACCAAGCCTCATTTCAGGCTGCTTATGGCCAAAGACAGGACCTGTGTATAAAACAACCCCTGGGACCTTTGCCAAGAAAGAACAAACACCATTCACTCACTCATGTTAGATAAACACTGAGTGAAGTCACTGGAGCCCAACGACTGTGCCAGGGCAGCGCTGCCAATACAAGAAGCCGCACCGCTCCAGCTCGGCTCCCTCAATGGCCACTCCATGCTCCAGCCATGCTGGCTTCCTTTTAGGTCCTTCACCTCAAAGCTGTAGTTCATGTGCTTCTTTCTGGCATGTTCTTCCTGACCTGCCCACTCAACCCTCAGACTTTACCATAAATGTCATTTCCTCACATCCGCCTTCCCTGACCCAAGACCAAGCCAGGCCTCCCATGATGAACCTCGCAGCACCCCATCTCCACCTAACAGACGCGGTAATAACCCACAGAACCCAAGCCAGGCCTCCCATGATGAACCTCGCAGCACCCCATCTCCACCTAACAGACGCGGTAATAACCCACAGAACCCGGGGTCGGCCGGGCGCGGTGGCTCAAGCCTGTAATCCCAGCACTTTGGGAGGCCGAGACGGGCGGATCACGAGGTCAGGAGATCGAGACCATCTTGGCTAACACGGTGAAACCCCGTCTCTACTAAAAAATACAAAAAACTAGCCGGGTGAGGTGGCGGGCGCCTGTAGTCCCAGCTACTGGGGAGGCTGAGGCGGGAGAATGGCGTAAACCCGGGAGGCAGAGCTTGCAGTGAGCCGAGATCGCGCCACTGCACTCCAGCGTGGGTGACAGAGCCAGACTCCGTCTCAAAAAAAAAAAAAAAAAAAAAAGAACCCGGGGTCATGATCTACGGCTTTGAATCCTGGCTCTGTCACTTGGCCAGGTCTCTCAGCCTTTCTGTGCTTCAGTTTCCTCATCTATAAAATGGAGATGACAGCAGTGCCTGCTCATAAAGTGTGAGTTAAATGCACTCAAATCAATGGTGGTGCATGGTTTATGCTATATGAATATTAGTGACTACAAAATATTATCAATAGACCTTGTCACAATTATTATTAAAGAACTAATCATGCATTGGTTATTTAGGTCTTTCTCTCCTGCCAGAATGTGCGCTCCAGTTGGAGAGGTGTTGCCTTATCCATGGCTGGATATACAGAGATTCCCACAATGCCGTGCACACAAGCACTATTGGGTAAATATTTGCTGGCTGCAAGAAAAAGTGAAGGAATAGGCCCTCCAATGGGAGGAAGAGCATAAGCTGTGAGGGCAGAGCACCACAGGAAACCAGGAGGCTAAGTGGGGTGGAAGGGAGTGAGCTCTCAGACTCCCAGAAGCAAAACCTTCCAAGTTGGGCTCTCACTTAGGCCCCTCCCACATAGGGAAGCCAGATGGGTTCCCCAGGACCAGGATTCCCCAAGGGGGCTGCTCCCAGAGGGTGCGTTGCTGGGATTGCCCAGGATGGGAATGGCCCTGTGATCAGGTGGGGGTGGATGGCAGCACCCACCTGCTGAAGATGTCTCCAGAGACCTTCTGCAGGTACTGCAGGGCATCCGCCATCTGCTGGACGGCCTCCTCTCGCCGCAGGTCGGGCTGGATGAGGGGCACGGCATAGGTCTGACCTGCCAGGGAGTGCTGCGTCCTCACAGGAGTCATGGTGCCTGTGGACGGGAGCCGGAGCATCAGAGCCACCCACGTCCACCCGCGCTCACCCACCACAGGGCGGGGTGGTGTTGAGACAACACAGCCCTCATCCCAGTCATGCACATAGCTTCAGCCTGCACAGATAGGGGAGGAGAGGACACAGCATTTGGTGGGAGGCCAGGAGCACATAGATGGGATTCTGCTGATGCCTGTTGAGTGAACGAGGGAGGGAAAGGGCAGGATCGGGGACTAGGGAATTTGTAGGGTCAATGGAGGAGTTCAGAGAAGGTGCAACATTTCTGACCCCCCACAAGGTGCTTGGTGCCTGCCAGGCACCCTTTCCATACATTGTCTCGGTTCAGATCCCCACCTTGGATAAATAAGAAAGAAACCTTGGTTGCAGAGGAAAAAAGAGGCTAGAAACAGAGGAGTAGAAATGGGGTAGTAGGGGAGATTGCCTGAACTACTGTCAAATGGTACCCAATTCTGGAAAAGCACAAAAAATGTGCACACACGGGTTCTTCCCACTTTAACCCCTGAGGAATTTGAGGGCTGCTCCTGAAACAGACTGGGCAGTGGCTAGTGACTCTCTAGGTATAAGAGTGTCCAGCCCTCCTCACCCAGGCTAGAGCTTAGCTTTTAAAAGAGGAAAGAGGTGCATGTGGGGGTGGAAGACAGGAAGGAAAAACACTTCTGGAATTGCAAAGTGAGGGCAGAGTCTATTTATATTGGGTTTAATTAACTCCTCTCCCTGGTGCCACTAAAGCAGCAATCACACTGCAGACGGTACTGATTTGATTGGCAAGAGATGTGCCAGGCAGCATATTAAGGGACCAGGCCCCTATAAATAGGACTAATCACAGCCCCTCGCTGGAAAATGGTAAGGAAGACATTAATCAGGCCTGGCACTGTGCCCTAGACCTGCTCTCCTAGGCACTACAGTGGGGCCCTTGGTTGCGATACAAGTAGGTAGGGATGGATGAGTGTGGCATGAAGGGCCTAGGAGGTTTCATTTGGGTTTAAAATGCTGTGACCTTGAGTAAGCTGCAGTCTCTGAATCTGATCCTTTCCATTTGCCATTCTCCAGACTGAGAACTAGCACGGCTGAGACGTGGTTATTCCCAATAATAATTTGTATATTTCACACAATGTACCACACCAGCATCTTCACCCAGCTGGAGCCTACTCCTTTGCTCCCCCTGCTGGCTTCCCCAGCCGTTCCTCCTGCCCTCCTCAGGCCAGCACTTTTCATGATCTGAGATGATCATCCTGCTCTTCAGCTTTTCTCCAGCAGTGAGTTCCTGCTTTGCATACAGGCTTTCCAGATCTGTACTTGCCTTGAAAACTCATCAGGGCCCAGGAGTTACTCCTCACCTCCCACTTATTTTTCCTCCAATCAAATAACTAAAGCATGGTCAGCTGATACCCAGCCAACTGAAAAGCCTAACCCTCTGAGACCACAACACCTCTATGAAGAATGTTCCTCCCTCCCCTTCTTTGTATTTATACTGATGCAAGTTTGCTGGCCGTCCTAACTTATTTCTGTGCCTCTGTTCTCCCACAGGTAAGATCAGAAAGGGAATAAAGATGCAAGATATTTCCTGTACACATCTTCAGATGAATTCCTTGTTACTGTATGCGTGTTTGCTCACACACATGCATGAGAGAAGAGTACATACACAATCTCCTCAAAAGGAAAGCAGCAAGCCCATTCAAGAATAGGACCGAATACACCTGATGAGTGCTTTACCTTGTTTGCAAACATCTACTGATCATCTATTCGGTGCAGGCCATGATCACAACAAAGATAAATAACACACTACACTAGCCAGGGAGATAGTCTCAAAAACAACTAAACTCAAATTAAATTCACTCTACTTCAGCCATGAGTACAAAGCTAAGGAGTGACAAATCCCTTTTGGAGTCAGGGGAGTCAGGAAAACGCTCTTGGCAGAATGTGTGCCTCTCGGTCAGGCGCGGTGTCTCACGCCTGTAACCCCAGCACTTTGGGAGGCCAAGGCAGGCAGATCACCTGAGGTTGGGAGTTCCAGACCAGTCTGAGCAACATGGTGAAACTCCGTCTCTACTAAAAATACAAAAGTAGCCGGGCGTGGTGGTGCATGCCTGTAATCCCAGCTACTCGGGAGGCTGAGGAAGGAGAATCACTTGAACTGGGGAGGTGGAGGTTGCAGTGAGCCGAGATCGCACCACTGCACTCCAGCCTAGGCAACAAGAGTGAACCAGGTCCAGGAAGAAGGTGCAAAGATAGCATTCCAGGTAAAAGAAACAGCTCGAACAAAAAGTGTGTAGGGGAACAGCAAGTGGTCTTGAGTGCTGAGGGTACAATCATCCTCGGGGAAGTACTAGAAGAAAGAATGATAAACAGAGGCCACTTTGTTAAAGACACTCAAAATTACAGCTAGGAGTTTGAACTTGTGGCAGGAATGAAATGCTTAGACCTGTGCTGTCCAACATGGTAGCCACCAGGCACGTGCAGCCACTGAGCACTTGAAATGTGGCTAGTCCAAATTGAGATGTGCCGTAAGTGTAAAACATGCACCAAATGTCAAAGACTAGAAAAAAAGAATGTAAAATCTCTTATTATTTTACATTGATTACATGCTAAAATAACCATATTTGGGATATACTGGATTTAAAAAAATATTACTCATTTCATCTGTTTCCTTTTACTTTTAGAAATCACATATGTGACTTAAATATTTTTCTTTTTCTGTCCTCTCACTCGTGTCCTGTCATTCCAAAGAAATGAGTCTCTGCTCTTTTTGGGCAGGAGATATCCTAGAATGGACTCTGACCTAAGCATCAAAATTAATGATCATAACGTTATCATTTTATGGCCCCTTCTTCCTGTATCTGGTACTTTTATTTTTTTTATTTTTTTTTTTTTTTGAGACGGAGTCTCGCTCTGTCGCCCAGGCTGGAGTGCAGTGGCCGGATCTCAGCTCACTGCAAGCTCCGCCTCCCGGGTTCACGCCATTCTCCTGCCTCAGCCTCCCCAGTAGCTGGGACTACAGGCGCCCGCCACCTCGCCTGGCTAGTTTTTTTTGTATTTTTTAGTAGAGACGGGGTTTCACCGTGTTAGCCAGGATGGTATCTGGTACTTTTAAATGATCATGTAGATAACTTTTATTGTCCCTCATTCAGCAGACGATATTTTCTTATGCTGCAGTATGACTGCTAATAATACCTACATATGTTAGAACCACTCTGACTCCTCAAGAATCTCATTTAACTCTTAATATCAGTGAATTTATCATCATCCCCAATTTTAGATAAGGAAATGGGGTTAAAAAGATCAAATAACACTTTTTTCAACACCAAAACACTAGCTTGAGATAAAGCCCAGACTTGGATCTGTTGTCTGAATTCCAAGCTTTTTGTTATTTATTGATATTTTGTTCTTACGCATTAATAATGCGAATCTTAGTTCGAAAACTTTGTTAGTACTACCAACTGTAAGTCACGTTACCTTGATACTTTGTCTTTATAAACCTAAATTAGATCTGTTTTTGATAGAGGGAAGAACAAGGGAATCTAACACTAACCAGCCCCTAGTGTGTGGTCAATACTTTCCTTACTTTAGTATACATCACCCCAACTGTTTGTCTTCACCACACACTTGATTTTGTTGGGGCAAAAAGAAAAATTTTATCAAAAGTCGTCTTCTATCAGGGAGTTTAATAATGAGAAACCCTAGCTCCTCAGTTCCACAGTAGGTAATTGCAATTCATTCTAGGTCTGCGATATTTCCTGCCTATCCATCTTGTTAACAACTCTTCAATGCATTCCATGAATGCGTATTCTATAATAACGGTGTTTTTCTTGCATCTATGCCATGTTCATCAAGTTTTTTTCAAATTATTTTTAAGCGACAAAACTTGTACATGTGTATCGTACAGTATTTCTAGTGGACAGCACTGCTTTACAGAATGTAGTGTAAACTGCGCGCTCCCAGGAAAATGCAGACACCGCACGCCTCTTTGGGACCACGGTTTATAATTTCGGAGGGCTCGGAGCCCTTCCTGCAGACCGTTCTCCCACACCCCGCTCCAGGGTCTCTCCCCGAGTTACAGGCCTCGCTGTAGGCCCCGGGAACCCAAAGCGGTGTCAGAGAAGTGGGGTCCCCTAGGAGGGCCCAGGCGCTCCGGGCGGGCGGCAGCTGCGGAAGAGCCGCGCGAGGCTTCCCAGAATCCGGCCCGGGCGGGAAGGCGCAGGAGTGGGGAGGCGGAACCGCGACCCCGCAGAGCCCGGGTCCCTGCGCCCCACAGGCCTCGGCTTCCCTGCTAGGGCCGGGCAAGGCCGGGTGCAGGGCGCGGCTCCAGGGACGAGGCTCCGGGGCGGTCGGGGCCCAGCGGCGGCGTCCGCAGTGGAGCCGAGCACCGTGCCGCGGCCGCGGGACACAAGCTTGCCGCAGGCTTCTCGGCCAGGAAGGGTCCTGGGCCTCCCCCCCGCCTCCCTCCAGCCCCTCCCGGTCCCCGACTTCGCCCCGCCATCCCCCACGACCCCACTTCCCGCCGCCCCCAACGCCTCCTCACCTACGCGCCACCCTCCCGGAAGCTCCCGCCGCCGCTTCCGCTTCGCCGGAGCCGCTGGGTCCTAGCCCCGCCGGCCGCAGCCCGCCCGCGCCCCCGGGTCCTAACGCCGCCGCTCACCCTGCGCTGCGCCCTCGCCGAGCGCGGCTCCCGGACCTCGTCGACCCGGAGCGCTGGCCTAGCGGGCCGAGTCGTGGGCCTGGGCACGGAGCTCACGCGCACTCCGAGCTCCCGACGTGCACACGGCTCCCATCTGTTGTCTTACGAGCGCCAGGCCGCCCTTGCCCGTGCTTTCTGCTCTGCAGACCCTCTTCCTAGGCCTCCGTCCTTTGTCCCCTCGCTGCCTTCCCTTCAAGCTCAGGGTCAAGCTGTCCGCCAGCCTCGGCTCCTCCGGGCATCCCTCGGCCTGGGTGCGCCCCGGGGCAGGACCCCCAGCCCAGGCCCAGGGCCCGCCCCTGCCCTCCAGCCTACACCTTGACCTTCTTTCCTGCGTCTCTCAGCATACCTCACCTTGTCTTTACCTCTGTGGGCAGCTCCCTTGTGATCTGCTTGGTTCCCACCCCCCTTTAAGAATTAGAGAAGCCAGACGCAGAAGTACAGATATCGTATGAGTCCACTTTTGTGAGGTGCCTAGAATAGTCAAAATTCATAGAGACAGAGCAGTGGTCGCCAAGAATGGGGAAGCAAGGCGGAGCCGGGCAGCTCAATGGTGTTCAATGGGTCGAGTTTCAGGCTGGGGTGATGGAAGAGTGGTGGAAATGAATGGTGGTGATGGCGGCACAACAGTGCGAATCTACTTAATCCCACCGAACTGCATGCTTAAAAATGGTTTAGACGGTGAATTTTAGGTTATGTATGTTTTACCAGTTTTTAAAAAGCTAGTGAAAGGCTGGTAAAAAAAAAAAAAAAAGAAAAGAGGCTTTTTTAAAACAGTTAAGTATGTAAAAAGAGCGTCAGTCCAAAGTCCAGCAGTCGTCCCTCCTGGAATCCGTTGGCTTGACTCCGGCATTTTTGGCCCTTGCCTTTTAGGGTGGCCAGATTAAGACAGGATGCCCAGTTAGTTTGAATTTTAGATAAACAACGAAGAATTTCTTAGCATAAATATGTCCCAAGCTTAGTTTGGGACATACTTATGCTAAAAAGTATTATTGGTGGTTTATCTGAGATTCAAAAGTAAGCTTATATTTATATAAGCTTATATATTTTATATTTTATTTGCTATGTCTGGCCACCCTCCTCTCTTCCTAATACTCTCTCCCTCTCCCAGTTTTGTCCGCCTTCCCTGCCCCCTCTTCTGGGGGAGTTGGATCGAGCTGTAACAGAACATGCCACTGTCTCACTGGCTGCAGCGGTGTGGTCCCCTCACCAGAGGTAAGGAAGAGATGGATCTCCACTCCTGTTGTAGACAGAATGTTTATGTCTTCCCCCAAATTCTTATGTTGAAACCCTAACCCGTAATGTGACGGTATGTGGAGATGGCCCTTTGGTAGGTAATTACCGTTAGATGAGGTCGTGGGGTAGGGCCCTCGTTATAGATCTGGTAAGAAAAGAGAGCATTGTCTCTCTGTCTCACTCTCTCCCTCTCGCTCTCTCTCCGATTTCTCTCTCTCTCTCTCTCTTTCTCTCCTCTGTCTTTTTCCACCAAGTGAGGATGCAAAGAGAAGGTGGCTGTCTGCAAACCAGGAAGAGAGCGCTCACCAGGAACCATCCAACTGCCACCTTGAACTTGGACTTCCAAGCCTCCAGAACTGTGAGGGATAAATGTATGATTTTAAAGTCAACAGTGTGTGGTATTTTGTTTTGACTAATGCAACCTGAAAACATTTTCCCGTCACTCCACCTGAGCAATATCTGAGTGGCTTAAGGTACTCAGGACACAACAAAGGAGAAATGTCCCATGCACAAGGTGCACCCATGCCCGGGTAAAGCAGCCTGGCACAGAGGGAAGCACACAGGCTCAGGGCTCTGCCATTCATTCTTTGTGTGACCCTGGGCAAGCCATGAAAGGAGCTTCAGTCGCCCCATTTGTAATGGGATTTAATTGTGCTTGCCCTGCCTCCTTTTGAGGGCTGCAGAGAAAGGATGTCAAAGTATTCTGTAATCTGGCTGGGCATGGTGGCTCATGCCTGTAATCCCAGCACTTTGGTAGGCTGACGCAGGAGGATTGCTTGAGCCCAGGAGTTTGAGATCAGCCTGGGCAATATTGTAAGATTCCATCTCTACAAAAATAAAATAACCAGGCATGGTGTCACGCACTTGTAGTCCCAGCTACATGGGAGGCTGAGGTGGGAGGATCACTTGAGCTTGGGAGGTCAAGGCTGCAGTGAGCTATGATTGTGCCACTGTGCTCCAGGCTGGGCGACACAGAGAGACCCTGTCTCCGAAAAAACAAAAAAAAAAAGTACTTTGTAATCTGTAAGGTTTATTTCAACACACACAAAAAAGTGTATATGCTCCATGATGCCTGTGAATATACACACACCACATCATATACCAAGCCTGGCTGTGTCTTCTCACAAATGCGCTGCTAGGTACCACCCCCAGTTCCGGAACCACACCAGCCAGTTCACCCTCCAGATGGTTCACCCTCAACTTCATAGAAGTTCTTTACCTAATCTACTGACAGACTCATCCCAGACCTAATTTTAAAGATTTCCTAGGAGCTGAATTGCAAAGACTTTTACCCTCAGCCCCTCGAGCTGCATTGGGAATCCTTTACCTCAGCCTGGACAAAGAGCTGCAGGTCATTCTCATGTGTGGACATGGAAGCCCTGCCTGCCTTTGCTGGTCAGCTGGGCCGAGTGGGCCTAGGGAATTAAGGCTGCAGGGTTGGTCCGAGGCAGTCTTGCTGAGGCTTGCCAGCATCCGCCAGCTTCCTGGATTTCCCAGGATCCATGAGCATGGACTTTAGGAATTCCTGGTGGAGGAGTGAAGAAAATGCGGCAGGGTGTCCTGAGCCCTGATCTACAGGAAGAAAACTGGAAATAAGATGGACGACTTAGTTTAAGATGTTCCCTACTCAGCCTCTAGCTTTTGTACTACAGTTCCGGGAACACACTCCCCTCTCCTGAAAACCACTTGCCTCTCCAGCATTAAATTTCACCAAGATGTCTTGCTTGTGGGAAAGGCTTCCAAGGATGCCTGGAGAGAGGAGGATGGAAATGTCCCGCTCTCTAAACAGACAGATGCAGCCAGACAGAAAATAGTTTATCTTGCTGAGGTTTCTAACATACTTGAAAGAGGCCTGGGTCTAGAAATCTACCCAGAGGGCTCTCTGTTGTGCAAGCAAAGATAAGAACCTTCCCTGTGGGGGTTCCAGAGCCAGTTTTAATAAACGCCCATGGGTGACTGTTCAGAGTGAGTTCACACCATCCTGACCTGCCCTGAGTTAGACCTTGCAGGGTCTTTCTCCTCTACAAAGCCTCTGCAGCCCAGGAACCTCCCTTTATCTGAAATGAGCAGCATTTGAAGCTTCACCAGACAGACCAGACAGCTTCGCCCTCGTGCTGTGCTCTTTGGGTTGTTCTCTGAGAGGCAGTAGAGCCTCAGGTTACTAGGAGGGGAAGGGCTTTGGGACTAGACTGCGCCTGCTGGAGTCCTCATTCTGCTGCATGGCCATGTGATCTCAGGCATGTTACCTGTGCCTCAGTTTTCACTCTCTCAATATATGGTAACTGAATCTGTCTTTGTAGTGAGGATTCAGTGAGTTAACATATTTGAAGTGCTTAAAAATGATGCCTGTGTCCACAGATTAATGAATGAATACACAAATTGTGGTGTGGGCATACAGTGGAGTATTAGTCATGAAAAGGAACACAGAGCTGATCCATGGCACCATACAGCTGAATCTCAAAAGCATTAGGTTAAGTGGAAGAAGCCAGACACAGGTCACCTATTATGCAATTCCATTTATAGGAAATATACAGAATATGTAAATCAGTGGAGAAAAAAAGCCAATTGGTGATTTCCAGGGGCTAAGGTGAGGGGAAAATGGGAAGTGGCTGCTTCATGGGTACAAGGTTTCTTTTTGAGGTGATGAAAATGTTTTGGAACTACACAGAGATACTGTTTGCACAGCATTGTGAATTTACTGAATGCCACTGACTGTTCACTTTAAAATGGTCAAATTTATGTGAATTTCACCTCAATTAAAAAAAGAAAAAAAGGACCAGACGTGGTTGCTCACACCTATAATCCCAACACTTTGGTAAAAGGTGAACAATTTTTTTTTTCTTTTCTTTTTCTTTTTTTTATACTTTAAGTTCTAGGGTACGTGTGCACAATGTGCGGGTTGGATACATAGGTATGCATGTGCCATGTTGGTTTGCTGCACCCGTCAACTCATCATTTACATTAGGTATTTCTCCTAATGCTATCCCTCCCCCAGCCCCCCACCCCCCCGACAGGCCCCGGTGTGTGACGTTCTCTGCTCCATGTCCAAATGTTCTCATTGTTCAATTCCACCTATGAGTGAGAACATGCAGTGTTTGGTTTTCTGTCTTTGTGATGGTTTGCTCAGAATGATGGTTTCCAGCTTCATCCATGTCCCTACGAAGGACGTGAACTCATCCTTTTTTATGGCTGCATAGTATCCCATGTTGTATATGTGCCACATTTTCTTAATCCAGTCTATCATTGATGGACATTTGGGTTGGTTCAAAGTCTTTGCTATTGTGAATAGTGCCACAATAAACATACACGTGCATGTGTCTTTGTAGTAGCATGATTTATAATCCTTTGGGTATATATCCAGTAATGGGATTGGTATTTCTGGTTCTAGATCCTTGAGGAATTGCCACACTATCTTCCACAATGGTTGAACTAATTTACACTCCCACCAGCAGTGTAAAAGTGTTCCTATTTCTCCACATCCTCTCCAGCATCTGTTGTTTCCTG